GTTTTAACAGTCATTTTTAACACAGATACTGCACAACTTGTTTAATATGGTTGTTTATTTGTCTGAAAAAAGGTGTATCTACATTTTTATTCAGGAACATATGGCAAAAGATGAAGCATTAATGGATAAATAAACTGCAAAATGTTTACATTTTATGCATTGAAAAGATGATGAAGCAGTAACTTTTTTAGCGATCTTTACAAAAAGAGTTTCTACTATTACCTCAAGGCATTGCAATGCACTAACTAATATTGAAGCATATTTTAACAAATTTTGATGAAGACTTTGAGATACATTTGTTAAAATGATAATGAAAAACAGACTCATGCGACTACTGTGAATTTCATTTGTGATTGAGTTTTATTTCGTGGTCTCTGCAGGTTCGATTCGTATCAGTAAGACGTCATGACATTTGGTCAATATAAGTATGAAATTTGAGGACTTTCCTGGAAGTTAATTCATTGTTACATTTGTTTCATTATAGTTTTTTTTACATGTATCGCGCAGCGAAACAGTATTATTTGCTTACTAATAATCAGGGTAAAAGTGTTTCATTGTTATACATGCAAAAAGTCTTTATATAATGGAATTATACTCTAACACAGTACATAGATTCAATTATCCCGTTAATTAGATTGGTTTGTTTGATTAAGCGAACAGTATGAGATGCTGAATGACGAAAAGAGCACAGATTACTGCCTACAGTCATGTGAAAGTAACTACTCAACCCAAGTACATCTTATAAAGCTGACGAAGGTAATCAGGGTGAGTTTGAGCGTTGGTAATGCCGTCCTAAAACAAAGCTTGTTGAGAATTTTGCATGATTTGTTTGATATTTCTTCCTAATATGATAACATAGTAAAAGACCTGAAACGTTTCCTACTTCTGTTGCTGTTTACAGTTCATATTGCAACTCCTGTTTTCCTATATGCTCAGATGAATTTCTTCATAAAGTTTAAGGGATCCGTAGTATTTCTTTGATATGTAAACTTTTATTTAGGCCTTTTGTTTCACTGGTCAGTATCTTATTTTCACTATTTGGAAACTCGACTAAACCCAATTTAACTGATATAAGACAGGAGGACCTGAAGCTTATGGCTCGTCGGATTCATGCAGACAGCAGTATCTAAACCACGATCTGTTACGTGTTTTACTTTGCCATCCAAGACACATATATATACAAACTATGAATAAGTTTCTAGTTCAACATACTAAATGTGTCATGCATATATCTTCATCTCATCAAGTAAATAATACTATAACACTGTGTGGTATAGTGAATAAACAAATTTTTGTCGAATTCAAAACGTTGGTTTGTTGTACTGCTTTTCGCTTACGATATCACTTCGTTTTATAAAATAACTATGTATATTTGGCATAATCCTGTTGAAAAACACAATGAAGTGTACTAATGTCCTAATAATTTGTAAACTCAAATATTTCACTTAGATCAGTAGTTTGGGGTCTTAGAGGATTCAGTATTGATGTTGGTTTTCATAGTTTTAACGGACTTGCTAAGCTGAAGGCACACTGTCAAGCATCCTTACCATTTAGGACTTTGTCGTGTTACTTTGCTCTAGTCTTATGATACCTTCTAATCAGTTAGTTGGGATGCATTAGTATTTTGGCACGGTTTATCAAATACACTACTTCCACCTACCTACTTTAGTGTCTTCTTTCTTGGCCTCACACTCGTTGCTATACAGCAAGTATAAAGAGTTGGTGATTTGCCTCTGCGTCTATCAAGTTCATGTAAGATCCATTCAGAAATTCATACATGAAATGAAGATTACAAAGTGTAGATTTAATTAAGTCTAATATAATGTATGAGTGCATAAGAGTCTTTATCTTAGTTTTATTTCGGTTGATGTATTTGGATAAAACTTACAGTTTCATGTAGTCAAAACCGAAATTCGCTGCTAGTTGACGATGAACGAAGAACATTTAACTGTGTTCTTATATTTTAATTGAAAAATATGAAGTTTATGTATCTTCTTTACATCCATGTAGACACCTCCAAAATTCTGTAGTTTAGCCATAACTTTTACCGTTACCATCATGAACAGAATGAAATTTGCTCTTTCACATACAATACTAACGGGAAGAACATTTCCTATAGAACAAAACGCACACTGAATCACAAGTGATATCCATAACTTCTATTTTTTTTCCTACATTTAAGATCTTAAATAAGTAAATAGCTAGCCAGTGCCGTCACAAGACTAACAGGAATGAATTTGAGATCATATGACCCAACAATGGCAGTGGATCAAGGTTGAGCTATATCGTGAATAAACAGGAGGAAGAAAATATTAACCTATGGATTTTGACTCATTTGCTTAATGGTGACGTACTAGCCAATAAACCTGAGGAGTTTTGACTGTAGCTCTGGCGGGTCATGGTTGTACACCACTGGCTACTCCTTTACTAGGACGAAATAACTGTCCAGTGCACCCAGGTTTCCAATACTTCTCTAACTGATGTCAGTCCTTCGATAAATGCCAACTCAGATTCAAGAAATCTTCATACACTTTTAGGTTCAGTAAACTATATTAAACTGATAATATTGCTTCCACCTCCAATAAATTATGTCTACATTGATATGCTTTGGGAACAACATCACTAGGGTGCAGGTACATCCAGCTGACGAGTAGCAATTAGGACGAAACGCGCATTCTGGATCCTTCTGCTAGCTACAACAAACCAAATTATCATAACTAACTCATGGACAATTATCGATATGGCTTTCCATTACTAATACGACAAAGGTTTCAAATCGGTTTTCTCCATGTCAACAAAAACCGTTATCCACTAATTTTTATCATTCCAAGAACTCCAGTCAGGTAATCTGTTGCCCTCCACACCACTCTGACTAAGAGTCAAAGAACTCATGTCCTGATTTAGTCATGGTCTGATACTTACAAAAGCCTTCTTTTAAATCGTTTCTGTATGAGTCAGTCAAGCACTTAGAGATGGGCTGCCGCTGGGAATGTGTAGCTCACCTTCCAGCCACCTCAGTGAATGTGTCCAAGTTTATCAGTTAAATTGTTCTGTTTACCTGGTAATCTTCACTTACTGTAAGCACTGGTCATGTAGTAATTCTAACATATGTAGGTGATGCTACGTGGTCTGGAAACGGAAACCTTTATGTGTCATCTTTAATCAGTGAAAAAATGTCAGATTTTTGTACTAGGATCGGACGCAATGCAGAACAGCAAAGTTATCTTTCTATGGTTAGTCGGGTATCCCACCGGTCTCAAGGATTACCCAACTTTGCAAGTGCTTAAAAAGGTTTCTGTATCCGAACTGGGGTTTCAACCGCAACCGAACGATTAAAGTCAACTTAACTTCTTAATTGAGTGGAGTGGTCGAAATGCTGCATTATTCCAGTCTCCAAAACGACCCTAGGATTTGGTGTGGATCAGTTTAAAAGCGTTATTTTAAACATGACCGGGTGCGAAGTCCATGCCAAACACCTTCATATCTCTCCTTAAGGCGTTTAAAAGACCCTATATTCCATCCAATTCCCTTCCCAACTGTCGTCTACGTACTGCAAGTCCATCAAATAATCTTCAAGGAAAAGGTCAGTCAAAGTGAAGTCGGAGGTACCTATGACCATGTCCATTAGTATGTATATAACGAATTTAAAGAAGAACGGTAACAAAATGATTAGTAGTGCATAATTTTATGCCACTTTCTTTACAGTCTGACATCAGCCACATCTCTCGATCGACAGAGCCAACTCCCACTTCAAGGTCAAGGAACATGGCAGGTTTCTTCAGAAACTTCATGTACAAATTCCTCTTTATGATAAAAAAAGCAAACGCAAATCATGAGGATAGTATTAAAGGACAGGATAAACTCATTAGAAGTATCAAAACTATTCATGTTCGCAGCAGACTGGAACCAGTCTTTAAGAGTGCATGCAACCATGCGTCAGCAAATGGGCTCCAGCTTTGCAACTAACCAGAGAGTCACTTTGTGTTAAATTGGATCAACCATTGATTAAAAAGGTAACTGAAGATTGCCTTTCTTTTGCATTCGTGCTAATTCATTATCACAAGGCGGATGTGACCATGGGATCTTCTGATGACCAGTACATGTAAAACTAGCAGTTATTTATTTTTAGTCAGAAGTTTATTTAAAATATTAGTGATTTGCTTTTCTGTTGCATTAGTCAAGTCCTTTGGAGAATTATCACTTATGAATTTCAGTTTAAAAGAATCGAGTTCATTCTAACGAAATCACCACCCTTTCGTTATTATAACGCCCAAAACCTTTATCGGGTCTTCATACGTCTAAATGAACATAGTACTTTACATTCTCGAAGCTCCTTTGTTCTCCATTGACAAAAGTGTTAACTGTGAATGTTTCAAAACATGAAACTGCTTATAAGGATCAAGAAACGTGTATTTGAACCAGTCTTCCCTGTACTCATTCATTGCCTTTAAATCTGCTGGTTGTCTTTATAAATATATTAACTGAACCTCTACATGAGTTCTTTCAGGAAACTCCCTTGAGAAATTAAACTTAGTGACAGTTCAGATTCAGTTTCATTTAGCTATTTATTGGATAGGTGGTGAATGTGTTGATGTTCTTGCTCGTTTGCAATATGGTAGGTGGGTGACCGGCAAGAAGTATATGCTTTCATTGCCAGTCAGTATACTTTACATTCACTTAACTGCAAAGTAGAACTAACTATGTGAATAATTTATCCTCATATACATTCTCCTACAAGCGTCTGCTTTCATGGCAGTCTCAACTAATTATCGCATAGTATGATGGTTTCTTATGTCTAATAATGAGCACTTTGAATGCAGGCTAGAATAGGGTTGACATTTTTTAAAAATCTCTCGACTCTTAATGTGAAAAACAGATTATTGGAGCCTGGAAATTCAAGTATTTAAATCAGTAATCTTTCTAACTTCTTTTCTGTATACATTATTTATTATTGATGGACCTAACTACGCAGATGTTATTGTGTTCTGTCTTTTTTCAAGTTCAGATGTCGGCGAAGTATCCACAGTTTCAAGTTTGTTTCCAAAAAACTGGCTTAGGAGAGAATCAACTGCAGATGAGAATGTACCAATGAATCATAAAGGATATTCACTGTTCAAAGGTATCGATAACGATGATAATAACAACAACTATAACCAGTTTATGACAGACATCAGTTCTCAACAATCCTCATCAAGGACAAATACACTCCCTTCATCTTCTAGTCTCAATCCAAACCTTCCTCACTTCTCTTCAAGTTGTTCAACAATAACAACCACTTTAACACAGACGATAACAACCACACTAACTGGTAGTAATTCAAGTCGAATTCCTTCGAATCAGTATATTCCTAATGAATTGTTGGGTGGGAAGTTCGCTGAAGACTTTCTAAAGAAATCATTATCATCAATGGTATCCAACAGACTATCAAATGGTCAAAATGAACCCGTTCAGTTATCTAACAGTTTTACAGGTAAGTAGTTCTGAATTCCTCCAAGGAATAGAAAATCACCTAGTGAAGTCATAGAACAAAGAAGCAACTTGGGAGATAATTTTCCTTCAGATTATTTCAGAAGAAAGGGAAATTTTCTCCTCTGTTACTTTTTTATTCTCTCCCACAATTTTTGAAGTGTGGTCACTGTTTTCACTTCGTAATTCAAAGTATATTGATTCATAAGTCAAAACAATTAAACAAACTGTCTATTGACGACTGAACCTGATAGGTAAGTTCACTTATTTCTGATCAAAGCGAAAACAACAGAAGGTTGTATGGTTATCTTCAGTGTTGATTGAGCATTTTGGCATCATTTTTGCTCTACCTAGGCTTCATTAGTCAGTAGGATTGCCTTAGCATAACGCACAGAAGGTAATATTTGGATACACTGTTTATAAGCTTTAAACTATCTATCATTGAATAGATCTTAACTTACAGTTGTTTAAAATTCGTAGTGAAGCATCGAACTGATCATTTTACTGAGCGAATACTTCTTTGAGATCAGAGTAGTCTCGTTTGATGTATTTGAAAAGTAACTGTTACTTGAAAAGATTATTCTTTGACAGATGAGCCTAATTCTACCCCTTTGCAGTTCAACTTCACCGAAAGAAGCCGTTTTCCCGTAAGTATTTACTACTTTCACAACTGATTATACTTCAGAATACTAACAGACGGCAAAAGTAGTAAAATACATACAGCTTAAATTTATTATTTTAAGGCTGTGACTTTATTTATCAGGTACACGGCGAAGCTGGCGACCTCTTTGCAGGGAGTAAGTACTAGAAAATATATATGGTGTGTGGCAAGCCAGATCAACTATAGTAAGCATAGGACGTATCAAGGACTGTTGTTCTACAAAGAGGAACCGGCGTTTCTAATGGTAGCAATATATTAACCTTTGTGAAACGATACCCTTAGTATGCCCTATAGATTGATGAAGATCATGTAAACTATAGCATTTAAAACACAAGCGTATAACATCATATCATAATTGTTTACATACTACCACCATAAGCTAACTGTTGCCCTTAAGATTTCGAGATAATCTTCCAAGATGAATATGACTGCCTGAAATAAGTAGCAAGATAATCAGTTCAAGATAAGTGGCAGTAGTAGTAGTTACAGTGTGGTGAAAACCACTGGTAACAACGCTTATTAGTAACATATAGTGCGGCACAAGTAGCTGTGACAATCGTCTAATCTATGATGTAAGAAGATAGAACGTAGAATGTAATTGCAAATGCGAAAGGTGCTATACATCGAGACACCAATATGACTCGCTTATCAGATATAACATTGTTATTTTCCATTCAGCGATCTCTGCTGCTTCCCTGGACTACTCTTCAGTTGAAGTAATAGTAGTAGTAGTCACAATGATCGAAGCTGAAACACGGAGTAAGTGTGGTATTTAAGTCGTTATCATAAAACTAAGCCAAGAAGCAAACTAAACACATAGACAAAATGATTTTAATCCAATACACTGGAAAGGCAGAAATCATTTCAAGCTACTGTATGAAATAAATAACCCCGCTGAATATCCACCATCTTCGATTTCCGGCAATCAGCAGTAATTTTGACTAACCTTGGAGTTGTGGGAATATTCACTAAAGTTCAACCTTGTGACACCTCTCAGTTATGAAAAATGATCATGTTTTGTTCCTACTTAAAGTTTCTAAGTGTTTAGTTATTTCTATATATAGAAAATGTACTTAACTTTGCGTACATTTTGTTAAAATAACATCGACGCAACTCTGTTCATAGAATCACATGTTACCCCGTAACTTCTTTCTTATATTATCCGTGAATCAAATTATGTGCACAATGTGATATTTCATATGATAAATGTCTGTAGGCATTAAATTCAGTAGCACATCTACTGAATGTATCTTTTGTTCAGACTAGATGCTTTAGTTTGTATTTGATTACCTTATAAGCGTAAGAGCATTAGAGCCGGATGGCAGTCAGCAGGTTTGTATACACACAAATGCACACATCTTTATACTCACTGTCATGTAATAAGTTATATCGTTGGAAACTGAAATAAAAAGGTGCGAATGACTTGAATGTTATGCAAGAGTACGCAATGATTTTTATACAAAGGCTGAAGACATAATTCCGATTTTCTCCTCAGCTGCTTTTGTTTGACGGCTGAAAGTTCAGTGCATTGAATCAGTAGTCTGAAGAATATAACCGAAATACTGGGGAATGGGATTGAAAGTCATTGCATGAATCAGTGTTTTACTCTATAAGATAATAATTAAACCAAGAAAAATGTGTTCATCAGAATAAAATGAAGTCACATTTTGTAATTAAGTGCTTCACCTAAAGTAAAGCAGCCTAAGAGATATAAGATAAATATTCGACAATATAAGTTACGCTAACATTTCTAACAACTTTGTAGACATCGATGTTATAGCTTGTGAATTTCCATCGTTGACTGAACTAAATTAACAAGCCACTATTGGCACATGGGCTCCTGTAGGGGTGTCTTGGTATTATGGGTATTTTGAGGAAACGTTTGAGGCGACCGGTCTAAAGTTCGAGTTTTATTGGGAACATAACATCATTCACTGAGGGGTATGTACATCTAGCTGGTGAATCCTGAATAGGACGAAAAGTGCATTCTCTTTCGCACTGTTAACCATGATTAATAATTATTTAAAAAATCAGACCTAAAGGGTAACGGTTCTCAGGTTTCAAAATAAGATAATAAAAACAAGCTGAAGGGTTACCATAGGATATACAATATCGTTCCAGATGCATTTACTGATCCTTGGAAATGGATACCCATTGAAACAGTTCTGCTGCAAAGGTGTGGTTGCAGTATGTTCATAATACACTAACAGTACTTAAACCTGAGCAGATTACTAAGTCTTTTACACATATAAATTCAGCGGTGAACAAAATCTAATTTGCCTCTGAATTAGACAGGATTGACTCTAATGGCCATCTTAACAACAACTAAAAAAAGCAGTAAAACTTCACTATTTTATGAAAATCTACCTTTCGAACAAAAACGAAGAAACCCAGTTGGCTATTTCAGTAGTTCTTAGAATAATCTTTAGAGTCAATCCTTTGAAAGGCGTAAATGACAGCCGGCAATCTTGGATTTCAAGAATAAATAAAAACAAGATAGTAGTGTCTATGTAAATATTTTTCATTCAAATCGCCACTCAGACTTCAAATCATTTCACCCTATCTCAGTTAAAGTAGGTTAGTAAAATGTCTAAATAATAGGGTAAACGTCTTTTAGGAGGAGCGAAAACTTGAGATAAAAATAACGGATACAGTGAGAAAACCCTACATGTCGATAATCACTCACTTTCATTTATAGACAAAGCCTGAAGAAAACAGGGAAAATTCGAACAATAGTAATGATATGAGTGACTTTTAAGACCACCCTAACAATTGCCTAGACAACCAACCACGTTTTTCTATCCTCTGAAAAGCTAACTTCCCAGCCAAAATACTAAAACCTGACCGGTTATTTTATTAATAGCTAGGGTGACCTTTCAAGTCATTCAGTCACACAGGTGTTAATAATCATTCCACTAGTTTTAATGATAGCGGTAGTAATAAAAGTGATAGGCTGTAGAGAAATTTCTAAACGTCTGCTATGTTACCGTACAGAGAAGGCACCTCAGAAGCCTTATGAAGGGCTCTCAGTAAGGTTGAATTTCAGTAGCACCGAACCTACAAACCAACTTAGAAATCAGCTCTTTAGGTTAACATATATAATTATATATATCAGCTACCAGTTAAAGGCAGTGGTGAACGCGATGAATGAATATCAGCTAATTCCGTAATATCGATTTCTTAGTACTGAAAATATCCCAACCATCAATTTCGAAAGCTTTCATTTTTTTACTGTGAGATGCATAGATTAGACAAAAATTAAAACAAAATAGGTTAGATGAATTTCAAACTGGTGATGATGAGACTGTTTGAAGCTTTTGAAAAGTGTGTAAGACCGTTTCTGATGGAACGACATAGATTGACCGTATTATCGAAGTTCATCCTCAACAACGAAAAGTAAAAACGCTAAATATTCAAACCACGGATATCTGAAAAGGTCTCGTTGAGCATCGTCATGACGTTCCTTCATCCTAATTAGCCTCATTTTGGGATGTGATGAGAAACGTGACTGGTAGCCAACCCTATCACGATCACTGGACGGTTAATTATAGCAGATTCCTTTAAAAAGTGGACAAAACCCGTGATGCTTAATGTGCAACTGAACAAACAAGCTGCTGTCTTCCATCTATGCTATGCCCAGAGAGGCAAACCGTACCTAACACTTTGTTTGTTTTACTTTTATTACTTCAACAAGTGAATGTAAATTTTTTACTTAGGCTGCAGTTAGAATGAAATGAGAACTTTTTAATTTTTAGCTGAATTATGACTTGAACATTTCTTAAAAGATAAACTTTGTTACCTAAAACATTCAAACAAAACAAAGCCCTTGTCAGATTCAAATCAGATATTTGTCAATTACATGTTTTGTGGTAGGAATGTCATAATTAAGTGAAAATCCACCATAGTTTTGCCTATAAACCAAAATATTGAAACTGTATTATGTAATTTACATAGTATCATAATTGGTATCAAGATTATCAGCACGAAATGTGTAAAAAATATACTAGTAAATGATATGAGTAATTGTTGACTAATAATTTGCATAAGCGGTCTGCAGCAACTCAAGTCAATATGCAGTATTTTTCATAAGTCAGAAGATACTTTCTTTCTTAAAAATTCACTAGAAAGTAATTTTTCTCAACTGTGTTCATGTTCATTTTCTCTCCACACACTTCCGTATATTTGTTTTTGAAGTTCATTAAATGCCCACTTAAAGGCCGTTGTCTTCCAAGAAAATTGATTGCTTATCTCACATGTCTTCGGAAGAAGATTCTACGTCCCGCTATACACTCTTTGGAAACAATCAAATTTGTCCTTCATTCATTTAAGGCTGTTAAAATTTA